TTTGATTTTTAGCACGATCCAGTGGTCGAATCCACTGCCGTTATGAGAAATTAATATTAATCTCTTTCTATCATATTGACCTAAATATTTCAACATTTGATCGATGCAATCTGTGCCTATAAATATTTCTACTACATTCATTAGTTTATCATAAAATTCTTCTGGAAGGGGATCTGATGACTTTAAATCTGGAAAGAGATTATTTATTCTGTTTAACATTTTCCTTAGTTTTTCTAAATTAATTAAAGTGCAGGCATAAGGAATTGCTCTTCGCGTGTCTTTTTCTGAATACGTTTCGCAATCCCAAGCGAATAACGCATCATCACTCATACTCGAAAGCACGTTTAGTTTGAGAGGTGAAACCTGTGTTACTGCGTAATCGTCTCTACACGTTTTCCACACCTGTTCGTAATTGTTTTCTATTTCTTGAATTCCCAAACTTTTTTGGCTTCTTCTAATCAGACAGAAATGCGAGTTGTGTAAGTAAAAAACCCAATCTAATTCATCGTGAACGTCTCTGGGATGAAAATGTCTGTTTTTGGGATTATAAATTTGAAACGAAGTGTTGAATTTCTTGTTGAATTCCTTCATTCTAGCACAAGTCATCACTCCTTTCCTATTTGCTTTTGAAAACCCGTTGATGTATTCTTGAAATTCTCTCGTGTAGTCTTCGTTTAAAACACGATTGACGCATTTGATAAAACAGTGACCATCTGTAGGTATGTAACAATTATCGCCTTCGTAATCATTTATCTTTTTAAGTAGATCAGTTCCTCCTCTACCAACTCTCGATCTTTTTATTTCTTGGAAATTGTCTTTCATTAAAATTATTTTTCCTGTAAAATACCAATCGGAAGCATCAGATTTTTTGTCCATATTTGAAAAGATATTGTGAAAAGTTTTGGCATTGAAACCGAGGAGTGACATGTATTGTCTGTGATTCCCTTCCTCGACTATCTCTCCATCTATTTTAATTTGTCCTTTGAATGTTTTAAATTTATCAGAGATAGCCTTGATAACATCGGAAAAAAGGGCGTTTTCTATCAATGTTTCATCGTGTTCGATTTTATTCATATTTTTTTAAGTATATATTTTTGATTATTTCTTTATTTTGACCGCTGATATTTCTGTATGGAATTTGTCCAAAATTTCATTGAATTCTTGTAATTCTTCAACTGTTATGTTCTTGTCTTCTCTCGATCTTTCGAAAAAGATGTACAATTGATTAAGATACATATTCAAGATATCCGTTTTCTTTTTATAATGAGCTTTCTTTTTGCTCGTGAAACCTAAAGTGATGAGGCCGCAAGAGGTCGTTTGAATGGCTGTTAATGCAGCCAATACGGTTGGGACGATGACCGAAAGCATTAATCCACCAGTCACGGCCGTTGCCACCGTTACTCCTACCGTTAGAACTGTGCTCGCTGTTTTGAAAATAGAATCGATTCTACTCCATGTTTTCCTGCATGAATTGTACTGTCTCAACTTTATTTTCAACTCTTCTTGTTTGTCTATCATGTATTGTTGTCTGCTTTCGAGTTCCATTTTTTAAGTCGTTAAATTAAGTGAATTTCCGATAAATAGAACCACGGAATATCAAATAGAGTGATGTTGTTTGGCCTAGCATTATTATTAAAT